TGCTTTGTCTCTAGGGGCCACCGTAAATATACTTTTATTTATTCACTCCACATAAAATGTAATAAATAAATCATATAATACAAAAACCAACTATTCACATTTCGACTTTTAACTATTTAAATTTTCAGCTTTTTCTTTTTACAAATTTAAAGTGAAACAACACAAAACACTGCAAACCACAATACAATTAAATATAAAGTACGTCGTTCACATCAAACATCCGGCTCTAAGAGCCATTTCGTTCGCGACCGACACATCACTACTCCATAGGTTCTCTGTAGTCAAACGCATACGCAGCAGCGTCTCGCTTACCTTGTCCAATCCGAGAGCTACGTGTATCACACGCGGGGTTCGGAGTTCAGAGGTTGCCAACCAGAAAACAAGATGGCTGCAGTCATGATAAGCCATAAGCACTGCTGAGCTCATTTACGCGGATAATATAACAGAATAAAGTGGTCGTGTTCTTGTACTTTATCCGGGGTTTTCCCCCTACACGAAATGCGAACACGAATGGCGCTTATGTACAGTTTGTTATGGCGGCTATTACTGATTCTCGTTCACGTCAACAGAGCGCTCTTCTCTTGGCTCCACGTCCGCATCCAGAGCTGGAAGGGCCGGCTGTGGGAGCGAGCAGCGACCGTCCTGCTGTTGCCGATATCTCTAGTTGGATTTCCAGACTTTCAGAATAATCTGAATCATGGCCCAGATGCTAATGTTAAACCGATAACTGAAAAGCGCACCGGCGGTGGCCGGTCACGGTGTCTGTCTGACGGAAAGTTCCTGAAGAAAATACCGGTCCATATCGGCCTGTTGGTTGCGGAAGAAGAGCCCAGTTATCCGGACATAGCAAACGTGGTGGTGTGGTGTATGGCTGTCGGCATATCCTATGTTAGCGTGTATGATAATCACGGTAAGCATGTTACTCCTATCAGCTGAGTTTGCTGCTTGTGCTTTTATACAGTGAAGTTCATAAAATAATAAATCAGTTTAATCAAAAATAGCTTTAAAATTGTTGTTTTTAAAAAACTATACACGTAGTTTAGTGTAGTTTGGATATTATTTGGACAAGTTCATCCGATATGAATGCAATGATTTGCAGATGTTACTGAACCCATATTTTATATCTTCATATCTCTCTCTTACACACACACACACACACACACACACACAGATTCTTAAGTGAAAAAAATCATAATTCCAGTCTTAGAGAGTATTAATGCGCTTAGTATTAAAATCTGTATTTTTTTCCACCACTTCCAAGTCCTAATTTTGTTTCAACATACTTTCAGCTACAGACACTATTCAAACGTTAAAACAACTGCGCAATATTTAACTATTAAACTTGTATTCATCTTTTCATTTTTTTGGGTGATTCTGTTCATTTGGCCGTCACATTTTCAGTAGGAGAAACGTTTCATCACTCATCCAAGTAACTTGACAGTGACAGTGACCTCAGCTGACTGCAGATTTTCACTAACCTTATAAAAAGTTATTGTGCAAATGTACTGTTTATAAGATTGGGGAAACATGCAGTCAGCTGAGACTGAAGAAGTCACTTGGATGAGTGACGAAACGTTTCTCT